AAAAAAAAAAGAAAGTTGGCATGTAACGGAGACAATCCAAATTCGTTGCCATTTCTTCGAACTTCTTTTGTAAGCATATGTCAAAATCGTTCATCTTAGTAGGTTTGGCTTGGCATATGTAACACCGCGAAGATAAGGTTTCAGTAAAGGCATTGCAGACTTTGCCATCCACCATAGTTAGTTGAAGAAAATGATTGATATAGAATTTTCGGTTGGTAGCTGTTTTGAATCCTGTGGGAGTCAATTCTTGAATTTTGTTTTATATATAATTCTCCGTTTATGGTTTTGGTATTACAATCGTAACTTTTTTCAGTCGAAGTTTGATTGGTGTTGCCTACCTAAAAAAATGAAGATTTGACAGGTAATTAAACAGCTGAATATTTTTAAACAATTTAACAATTTAAGGGTAGGCTTTAGAATACTGTCCCAGGATTTCGGATATAAAATGGGCAAGGGCGGATAGAAGAGGTCCTCCAGATCAAGAGTATACCTATATAGATAAAGCCGCGGGAAACTTAAATTTAAAGTATGTATTTTTTTTGATTTAATGTTTCCATCCTATTTTCCTACATACATAATACATTACACAACAATACCAATACTACACACATTACATACAATATTAATAATACATATATAAGTAACATATATTTCATTAATGTTGCTCCTTAACCATTAGTAACGAAGGCGGGAATACAGCATTATCAAACACCAGAAATAGAAGAGCGAAGCAGAAATGCTGTTTAATTTTGTTTATTATGGTCAAGAACACGGGCGTTCATAATTACGAAAAAGCATATTCATTCCACACACATGGCACTTATAAAAACACAAAGATTTGTTTAAAATTTAATTTACTGCAAAACTGCGCACCAGAGTTTTTCGAGAATAACATTTAACTTCACTCACTACTGCATCTGGGAAGTAATTAACATCACTTTTTCGCAATTTTGTTCTAACCTTTTACGACATCTGATAATTTACATATACTGTCGCAAAACTTATCATCGTTCTATTGAACGAATAACAACGGTATTCTCCAGTTTGAGGGAAATCCTGTCAAACATCGACTGAAAAGTTACCGTCTGCAACAAATCGGATGAAAATCGGACGATTTTCTGGGCAATGCCCGGTGGCTTGTCCTCGACATCGCACCACCATCAAAATCGTCCTTGTGTGAAGGCGCGCGCGCGCGCGCGCGCGCTGCGCGCTTCGCGCGCGCGCGCGCGCGTTTGTAGGTGGGCGTCTCCATGTACCAATTTGTTTTCCGGTGTTTTTATTGTTTTGTTATGCATATTATGTCTTTTGTTCATGGTTCACCATACATGCCACTACCATATTGCTGGCGGTTGTTTATAACAGCGCGCGCGCGGGAATTTGTACAAATCAGTTTTAATACGTCACCAATCAACCGTGAATACGATTACGCTTGAAATGTCATATCACACAACCGAGAGAAATTATGCGTTGATATGTATATTCACTACCTTCAATCAGGGAATATTGATATGCCATTTAAAAATATTATTCCCTTTATTAGAACTTGGTATTTATTATTATTATTTTAAATTATTTATCTAATTCAGTCTTATCATCAATATCATCAATACTTATTATTATTATCATCATCAGCTTTTTACAATAATATCACTACATATTAAAATATTTAATTTTCTAAATTCATACTTGATACTATTATATGGAGAGTCATCACAATACAAGAAAATCTTATTACATATAGAGAGATTGTGAAGTTTGCTGTCGCATTTACATTCATATTATGTTGAGTTTCAACTATATCTTAGATAACAAAATGAAAAGAAATGCGTTTTACCGTCGCTTCAACAACGAATACTACTGAGGCCATTGACACTGACTGATCATGCACCCACCATCAATACTTAGCTACGCGCGTTACATGCACGAAAATATTTAAATTTGTTTATTAAACAACATTTAAATCGACAAAAGCGTTAACAGCTGCCTGCTTTTGGTCATTACAATGCCTTTTCTGTTTAGAAGATTACGTTTAGAAAATATTGTCCATTATTCCTTTGTTTCCATCTCCCCAGAGGAAGAGTTAAGTTACAGAACCACTTATGATTTAGCCTACCCAGCGTTACGGAGAAGTTTAGCGAACCAGTCGCAAGTAGCTTCTGCTGAAATGATTTGAACGAGGAGCTTACTTTGCAACGCGCAGTGTTATTGTTGTCTGATATTTGAAGTTAACAATTGAAAATGAATTTGAATGTGTATTTCAAATATTCATTTTAAGCTAACCCAAATCACAGTCGAATACATTGACCCAATACCAGGTAGACAACTTTTAAGCGTCCATTCAGAGACATTTATGAGCATTCCCTAAATAGCTAATACGTTTAATAACAGAATTCCACTGAAAGCAACGTTTGCATTTATTGATTTGNAAGTTTCGTTCCGTTACAGGTGCAACAGCGATGCTTCGACGCACACTGAGCTACTCCGTGACCATTGCTCAGAGAAATGATCCAGAGGTAGTATTTCTTGGCGGCATCGAACTTATGGTGTGAGGAAAAGTCGGATAAATGCAGAAACTGACAATGGCGTTCTAAAACTTGGGTGCATGGTAGCCAAGTTGGAAGCGATTTGTAATCTAGCGATTCGTTCCATTTGTTACGAATTTGCAGATCCCATTTATCAAAGTCAATGTAAATCAGCATTGCTTGCGCGATATACGATAACGATTCTAACGAACTGAATATAGCTGATGCCTTGTCAATCAAACTACTGTTGATAAGTTTGATTATGGACTCGACATTGTAACTCCGCATGTGAAGGTTCGTCATCAGAGTCCTTTGATACCTCAACTATAGATTTAATTCGTGATATATTGCGTAAAATTTAATGAATGATAAATTGAATTAATTAATAATTGATTGATATCAGTTATTATTAAATTATTCATACTTATATATTATTATAATTCATATATGCCCTCAATTATATATATAACATCTAGAATATATAATTTACTTACCTGTATTCCGTAAGCTGTCATTACCTCACACAAGGCCTAAGGACGACAACTTACGTACAAGCCGTAGAACTTAACACATCATCCATTTTTTTCTCAACCGAATTACGCACAGCCTCTCTCTCCAACACTTCGAATATTTCAATTCAACCATGACGAAATGCATGTTGGATTAAAATCGGGCATCCCACAGTAGACATGATCCTCTGAGATGACAATCCTTTGCGTATAAACAGTGTGTTAACCGTTAACTTCCGATGGTGTGCTCCAACGACAGTGGTGCGATAGAACATCATTGGCACGTTTCGAAAGATCATCGTTGCCCACCGCGATGACACATCCCTGCAAGGTAATTCAATCTAGAGGAGGCAAGACAATGTAAGTTATTGGTCTTTCCTACCTTAAAGCACAAAATAAGGCAACCTACGTTGGAATCACTATTGGGAAATATCTCAAACGACGCTTCACGATCGCCACAAAATTTATCTTTCTCGATTTTCAGTTCGGACAACACATTGCTGCTCTCGCTCAACTCTTTGATCACATCATCGGTGAAACCCCTCGAGGTTCTGGTGACCCACATAAGCTAAACCTGTGAAAGAGTTATATTGATAACTTTTTATTTTATTAATTTTGTTCCTATATTTGTTAAAGTACGTATTTTATTCAAACCAAATTAATGCCATCCTTTTGAACGTTCAACGGGTTACGAAGTAATCGCCAATTCTTTGGTTATCACTATTGTTGAAAGTAAAAAATAAAAAATAAAACAATAAAAACTCCTTGTAATACCTGCAATAAATAATGGTACCGCTTAAATCAAAATAACAAATAAATTAAATAATAATAAATCAAATGAAACTTATAGTTTTATTTCTATGTAAATGCATGCTAATTCACTGAGTTAAATATACTTTGCGCACATTTTTTCATTTAATTTTCACTTATCGAGTTGATACGCATAAACACAAATATAATATGACAAATTACAATCATATATACTAATAAAATAATAGGTAGACTAATACGATCACCAAACCAAATAAAGTTGGTCACATATAGAAAGATATTAATACTCTACACCACTGAATCGTAACTAAACACGCCCTTTTCAACATACAGGTAGATATGGATACAGAGATGCATTCCACCCCAATGCCAACAATGCGATCGGCCATCACTGTGCCTCGCCTTGGGGTTATTCCAACAGCGACGCCCCGTACATCAGCCGCAACCGCACCGTCAACCACCGCTCGTAGCGGTACACGAGCATCTGCAGCCGTTCCGTCTCCTCCAGAGGCGCCCTATCTCATCCGATGCCCCCTTTGTCGACGTCCACACAAACTGCAGCACTGTGGTCTCTTCAAAGGCATGACGCCGACACAACGCCAGCAAATTGCCCAGGCGCACGGGTATTGTCACAATTGTCTGGCACATACACACACGACGCAGGAATGCGACTCCGGGGCTTTGTGCCAAATGTGTGAAGGCAGCATCACACGTTGCTTCATCGTACCCCGAGGCGAGAGGTCAGTCGGCAGCCTGCCACACGAATCCGTGGCGCAAACCGACCGCAGCAAACCAATCGTGTGGCACGTCGCTGAAGAACGGTACCCCGATCTGAGTCCCGTCCATGGCGTCAGCAAAACATCGCACCTACTAGGCGTAGGCCGAACTATCGCCGCACGTCCGGACTCAGCAACGTTGTAGCAACGTTGCAACAGTTACAGCGACTGCTAGGCTGAACATTCGCCTAGGGGGGCCGGGATGGTCAAACGGGTTAAGATTACCGCCCCGAAGAACTCAAACACACCACACACAAGACAACACTGGCACACACACCACACCTGGAAACCCCAGAACACCCACATACCACACACAACTCATCATACAGCTGCACACACACCGACTAGGACCTCTATACAACACAAAGTACAAAAATATCTGTCCTCGAAGCGGACAGCCCCTTCTCTCAGCGACTGTCGACTAAAAAACACCGAACTTTGCTTTGGCGCGCGAGTAACCTCATTTTCTTGGCTCGTTTTTTATCATTTATAATTTTTATATTCTTTTATTACCTCTCCACTGGTATGCGACGAGGGAGTGCTTGCGTCAAGATAATCTTTTTATAATTATTCATATTCAAATAAACAAATTTTGTAAACATTTTCGAAACGGAAAAACATAAAATTCTAATTTAATTTGCATACGCGGAGTTTAAAGTGGCAAGTAAGTGGTGGTGTTATCAAAAGATTATTTTAGTTATCAGAGGATCTGAGCTCAAAATTAAGCGGTTAAACAGGGCCTGGTTTGTAGCGACCTGTGAGTTCTTTCTTTTTCAAAGAGGTCTCCAATTAAAACTAATACATATTGAATGACGTCGAGAGCGTGAATTAAAATTTTATGCACTGAAGGAGGAAGATACCAGGAATAATTGGATGTTAGTTCTCTTGCAGTATCTTGAGTAAATTTTCTAAATTTGTCCACATTAATTTTATACCCTGATGACAAGGCTTGCAGTAATGTTGCACAATTTTCAATTAGCTGCTTTTCTATGCCAGTTATTTCAGATAATTGGGCATCATTGAAAAATTTTGTTGCAGAGTTCTCCCATCATTTGAAGACCCACTGCCACTTGTTTTTGGTTTGTCGACAATTAAAACCAAACCATTTTTTTTTACAAAAATCGTCCTGAATATTTAGTTTCTTTCTTAGGAATCGTTATTTTTCTTCTAGGCCTCTTATTTGCATTGTCTGATTTTAAGTCTATAAAAACGTGACAAAAATATTAAAAAAAAAAGAAAGTTGGCATGTAACGGAGACAATCCAAATTCGTTGCCATTTCGTCGAACTTCTTTTGTTAGTATATGTCAAAATCGTTCATCTTAGTGGGTTTCGCTTGGCATATGTAACACCGCGTAGATAAGGTTTCAGTAAAGGCATTGCAGACTTTGCCATCCACCATAGTTAGTTGAAGAATATGACTGATATAGAATTTTCGGTTGGTAGCTGTTTTGAATTCTGTGGGAGTCAATTCTTGAATTTTGTTTTATATATAATTCTCCGTTTATGGTTTTGGTATTACGGTTTTCAACTTTTTTCATTCGAAGTGTGATTGGTGTTGCCTACCTAGGTTAGGTTAGGTTAGGAGGTCGATCCCAGAAAGGATCCCACTTGGACAGATTAAGACACTGGTCCGTTGTGATACCTACAAAACTCCTATAATCTGGATCAAAAGACCCTTGCAAGTCGATGAGACGCTTTGTGCTTACTACGGCCTTGTTAAGACGGCCAATATCCATTTCGGATAATATTCAGGTCCGCCAAAAGTGTGATTGCCGAGATATTTCAATCGCAGCCTAGCGAAAGCCGGACATTGGAGAAGAAAGTGCCGGGATGATTCCGCCTCGCCATCCTGCATGCAACTTTGGCAACTAGCATCGGGTAGTACACCAAGCCGTACCGCATGAGTGCCCATTGGACAGTGTCCAGTGAGAACTCCTACCATAGCTGCGAGATGCACTTTGCTCAGGGCGAGAAGTTCCCCCGACCTCCTGCGATCCACTCTTGGCCAGAAGGATCTCGTGGTCGCACAGGACCTAGTCGTCGGCCAGCGTCTGCTGAGTGCACGCGATGTTTATTGATCCAAAGCTAGAGCGGAAGACGTTAACGGAGATCCAACCCGATCCCATACCGATGTGAGCGGGGCAAATGTGCCCTCCCTGGCTAGCTCATCGGCATTGCAGTTTCCAGCGATTCCGCTGTGATAAGGCACCCAAACGAGCCTGATGTTGAAATAGCCAGATGCTACCTCTAGTGAGGACAGATACTCCTTGACTAGCTTTGATTGCACGGTACGCGCGCTCAAAGCTAGTATTGCCGCCCTACTATCGGAGTGGATGCTCCCTTCTACAAACGAGGCTGCACTACGCAGCAGTACTTCTAACGCCACCTTGATTGCAGCCACTTCCAGCTGAAAAACACTACAGTGATCCGGTAGCCTGAAGCTAAGACTGACGGAGAGCTCCTTGCAGACAACCCCCCCTCCAACCTTCCCTCCTAGCCTCAATCCATCCGTGAAAAAGCTCACCGCGCCTCTTCTCCAGCGGCTTCTTCCCATCCACATGTCCCTCGTTGGAATATGAGCGGAGAAGGAGCCGCCTCGAGTGAAGTCAGTGACGCAATGATCTATATTTTCCGGAATGCAGCTGAAGGAGGAAAGAATTTCAAAGTGTCCTTGTTCGGACCTCTTTAAAAGCCCAGCTTCCCTGAGCCTGGGAGCACACTTCGTGGCAATGCACCTACCGGCAATGTCCACAGGTGCTATGTTTAAAATAACATTAAGAGCTATTGTAGGTGTGGTCCGCAGTGCATCGGAGATTCCGATGAGCGCCGCCCTTTGGACCCTTTCAAGATTTTTAGCCAGTGTGGACCTTTCGAGCGCCCTCCACCAGATGAACACACCATAGAATATTATCGGCTTAACTACGGTTTCGTAGAGCCAGAACACCACCTTAGGTGAGAGACCTCACCTTTTCCCTATAGCCCCTTTGCAGCAGTATAAGGCGACCGATGCCTTCTTAACTCTCTCTTTAATGTTTGGCCTCCAGGAAAGTTTTCTATTGAGACTGAGCCCTAGGTATTTCACTTTCTCAGCACTTTGAAGAAGTGAACCCCCGAAGGACGGGAGAGGCACATTTGGTATCTTATACCTTCTGGTAAATAAAACCATTTCGGTTTTACTTGGATTGACGGCTAGGCCGCTTCTATTCGCCCAGCTAGATACCATGTTCAGGTACCCCTCGGTGAGCTCGTAGACGGTATTCAGGAACTTTCCCTTAACCATAAGAACCACATCATCAGCGTAGGCTGTCACCCGTCAGCCTTGCGTCTCAAGTTCTATAAGTAGGTCGTTTGCCACCATTATTCAGAGCAGTGGGCAGAGTACTCCCCCCTGCGGAGTTCCTCTATTCACTTTTCTGGTTGTCTTGGCACCACCCCACTCCGCTGCGACAGTTCTGTCGCAAAGAAGACTAAAAATAAGGTGCTTGAGGATAGATTCCACCTCAAACTTTTCGAGGCTTTAACCACTGCCTCTGGTTGCACATTGTTGAAGGTCCCCTCGATGTCGAGGAAGGTGCCCACAGCAAATTCCTTGTGCTTGAGAGCTATCTCCAGCCATGACACTACATCATGCAAAGCAGTGTCGACCGACCTGTCTTTGATATATGCATGCTGCGCCCGTACATTTATCCCCTCGGTATTCTGCTCCTAATGTACAGATCCATAAGCCTCTCTAATGTTTTCAACAGAAACGAGGATAGGCTGATGGTCTGAAATCTTTTGCACCGACGTGAGCTTTTGCGGCCTTCGAATGAAGTAACCTTAACGTGTCTCCAGACCTTCGGGACATGGCCTAATCTGACACAGTTCGCGTAGATGGGGGCCAGCCAGCTGCATGACATCTTAACCGTACGTTGTAGTTGCGCTGGAATAATGCCATCGGGCCCCGGGGACTTGAAGGGTTTGAAGGATTTCAACGCCCAGGTAAGGTGACGATCGTCCAGAAGGTCCAAGAAGGCTGTACAGTCCTCCTGCAGCTGCCCCAGTGGCACTTCTTCAGCAGAGTGATTAAGTGGTAAATGAGCATCCAGTAGTAGTTTCAGCGACTCCTCCGCTACTCGTTGTCCAACTACTATCTGCATTTTTGATACCCACTGGGAGTAGAATTTTTGCCTTGCCAGAGCTCTTCTCAGCAGGTACGGAGGTGGCTCCACCTCGTCGTCGTGCGGCATGTAGGCTGAGACAACGAGTGCTCAGCGCTGTCCTCCAGTCTAACAGCGACGACATCCTCGTTGCTGAAATTAGGCAAAAGAAAAACGTAAAGTTTGTTTCTGATCAACAAGCAGGCTTGGGTTCTACCTGTACTGATTGCCGCCAGGAGCTTGTGGCTCTTTGTCCTTAGACCAGAGATACCGTTTCTGCTCAGCCACGGTTCCTGGATAAGGACAGCGTCGCTTCGTCCCGTCTAGACGAAGCACTAGCTGAGTTGCGGAGCCGCCTTCTGAGTGCTGGAGGTTAATTTGAGAGATCCTCATCCTCAAACTTCTCTCCTCTATTTTCAATTTTTCGCCGCGGGAAACTTAAATTTAAAGTATGTATTTTTAATTTAAAATGAACTATACACTTATATTTTTCACTTTTATATCCACTTACACTTCACTAATTCGTTTGTACACATTTTTTACATTATATAGTGCGAAATTAGCTTTATTTCAATGTGAGTTAGTGAAGTGTTAGTGGACAAAAAGTGAAAAATATAAGTGTATAATTCATTTTAAATCGAAAAATACGTACTTTAATAGTTGAAAATTTCAACATTAAACGAGGGTGAATAATTTTTAAATGGATATATTATATTATATTACAATGACAAAAATGTTGGGGCCAAAACTAATGTGATCATCCATTGATCTTTCTAACACCAAGTTAGAAATTTATTGACAATAAAAAGGTGTTTCTAATATATATAGTTTTGTTTGTTAGATGTATTGATACATTGTTACGGATTTTATACTTATATTGATGAATTCTCGAGAGGGACAACTATCACTTCGTTACTATTCCGGTTTAATCTTCTGCCCATTACTTTATTAAAATCGCATATTCTGATAGATAGTGAGTCTGGCATAATGGCGGGTGAACGAAGGTTCACTCGGTTGAATTAGGGTTGAAGCAATGCAACTCTGGCAGGAATACGTATCTACCAACATAAAAAGCAAAATGAAATACTTTGAACAAAAAATACAAATGCCATTTTACATATGCGTGATTATTTTTTGTCATATAAACGATTTTTATGATGAAAAATTGATAAAATATGATTTTTTTGCACAAATGCGGCATGATAAAATGCAAAATATTATGCAAAAAATATATTTAACTTTTTTAATAATTTTCAATTGTTACAAAATAATACTTTATATATGTACATCAATTTAAAGTTCATTTAATTCTCTGGTCTGTACACATGAAGGAATAGAATTTTTAATATTATCACTTATCAATAAATATATACATCTGCGCGAGTTAAGGAACGTATTACTTATCACATTATATTATCAAT